AACTTGTAATGGTTCTTTATGATTAAATAAATAAATGACACCAACCTGATTGCGGGATTAAAAAAAAAAAAAAAAAATTCAAAAACAATGTATTACGACTTATTTATCAATTAATTGTATATCAAAAAAAGTTAGATTACATTATCCCGTGATTTGTATTTTTAATCAAGATATCACATGGTAATCTCAAAACTAAACGTTAACGTTTAGCCGATCAGTTATCTCAACAATGTTTCGATTCAATCAAATTACAAGAGGTGTTGTTCATAAAGTTTCCAGGACTTCTTTTACACGAGGTAAATCATGATTTTCAAACATTTTCAGAATAAAATTTGTTCTTACCGTATTTTACATTTCTATTACTATAGTTATATCACCAAGACCATTCGTTACACCTCCAATTTCTCGCAATTTTTCTAATTCTGAATATAGGCAATATGCTTCGCCTGATGTATCTAGCGAAAAAAAAATAAAACCAAAAGCGCCGACTACGCTTGACAAGGCTTCACAATTGTTTTTTTTGACCGAGATAATGAGAGGAATGTGGGTTGTTTTAGAAAATTTTTTCAGACCTCCTTATACAATCCTATACCCATACGAAAAGGGTGCCTTGAGTCCCAGATTCAGAGGTGAACACGCACTGAGAAGATATCCTACAGGTAATTAATTTATTTATTTCGTGGTTTCTTTATTTATTTCAATTAAAACATTAACAATCTATTAACCTTAGGTGAAGAGAGGTACCGATCAATTTTTCAATTGTTATAAATTTACGCGGTTTACGCGCGGGGAATTTTGATGAATTCTTTATTCAACTTTTAGATGTATTGCTTGCAAGTTATGTGAGGCGATTTGTCCTGCACTGGCCATTACTATAGAGGCAGAAGTGAGAGATGATGGTAGCCGTCGTACTACACGCTATGATATCGATATGACAAAGTGCATGTAAGCAAATCTTATCATTATTATGAAAGCTTTACTTTTTTTATGCGATCAATTTTATAAATTTAATTCCCGAATTTCAAATCAAAAGTTACTGTGGATTTTGTCAGGCATGTGTATTTTTTGCTCTATTATGCGATCTTTTTTTTTTAAGAAAAAAACTCACATGTGTCTAAATAAATATAGGAGGCATGCCCGGTCGATGCAATTGTTGAAGGGCCCAATTTTGAATTTTCAACAGAAACCCGTGAGGAATTATTATACAATAAAGAAAAACTTCTTGCTAATGGTGATAAATGGGAACCAGAAATTTCAAAGAATTTGGAAGCAAATTCTTATTACGTTTAATCTAGAAACTTAAAGTTTTCGCGATAAGCTATGTGAATCATTATGCAATATAAGATATATTAATGAGCAAAAAAAAAAAGATTTCAAAATAGTTTAAATAAATTATTTGATTGTTGTTTAATAGACTTCAATTGATTAGCAATAACAATGGATTCATTTACTGTATGTTATCTTTTTGAGCTACAGTATATTCTTATTATAAAAGTGTAGCTTATCTTTAATAAATATTTTAATAGCAGTTTTATTAATGAAAAAATATTTGATAATTTTATTATAACATATATAATATAGTAACTATAAATATTAAATATATAGTAACTATATATAGTATAATAAATTTTAACATATCAATGTAAATGTTTTTTAATTTTTAAACAAAAATCAATTGGTTATTAATAAAAGATAAAATTTTTTATTATAATATTTGTATTCAATTTTTTTCTTTTTTTTTTATTTTATATATAATCAAGTTAATTATATATATTGTTTTGATAATAATAACCTATATTTTTTTTTGATTTTTAAAAATTATATTATTAAAAGATTTTTTTTATTTCATTAATATTAATATCAATTGGAAATATATTTTTTATTATTATAAAATAAAAATAAAAATAAAAATTTTTTTCTTTAAATATTAATAAATTATATATAAATTATTGTTAATATTATTTTATTTTATTTTTTATTAACTTCAGATATTAAAAAAACCATACAATATATTTAAAAATTTATTAAATATTTTAATAAAGAATAGTATAAGATAATTGTATGTAATAGGTTATAATTAATTTATATACTGTTGTAAAGATTGTTAATATAATGCCAGTTAAGCTTATTGTTAAGACAAAGTTTTGCATTTTATGTCTGTTTATAATTAAAAATAAATTGTAAAGAAACTTGCTGTATATTCTGATTTAAATTTTAGATGTTATATAATTAGATTATTTATAATTTTTAATTAAATTTCTAAATTAAAAATATTAGATATAAAAATAATTGCAATTTGTTTTTTCATTAAATTAAAACTAGATAACAAACTTTGATTATTTATATAATTAAAGATGGGTCCCTAAATTAAAGGCAAGAACATAATTCAAATGTCCCTCACTATTAAAAAAGTTTTTTTTTTTTAAATATAAGGTCAAAAAAAAACTACCTACAAAGGTTTTTTGCAATTTAGACCACTTGATCCAAGTGTTTTTTGAATCATGTTCCTATTAAAGTAATGAATAAATAATTATGTCCCTTCAAAGGGACATAATTGATCTGCAAAATTTTATATGTTAAATAGTTTAGGGACCCATCCTTACATATAATACAATAAAACCTCTCTAAATGTACCCTTCCCAAATGTTCTCACTATATTTTATTTCTTTAAATGTATAGTCAAGCTTGATTCCAAGTATATTGAACAATTAAGAAAATTATTTCTTTAAATGCACATTCTCTTTGAATGTACGTTTTTTAAATTTTTTATATGGTTCTGAAGAGGATGCAATTTATCTACTTAATGCATCAAAATGAATGCCTTTACGGATGTTTAAAAAATAAATATCTTTATTGCAACAGGCTGATGTATTGTCAACTAATAATAATGTCGCAATTAATAATTTAACGCCGAAACATGACGGATAAACTTGTTGAAATGCAATAAAATACTATACTAATGGTGAATGGTTAACTCATTTCTCTTGATGAGTTAAAGAATTGAAGCTTTGCTACTTAGTAATAGTAGATAAGGCCGTAATAATAGATATGTTTATAGTTTTCGTTGTGATAATAGCATAAAGCCGGATACACAATTTTATCAGATAATTTCATAAAGAGTATATAATTGAAAAAATAAATAAATAAAAATATGTGTGTAAAGTTTAATACAAGTTTAAAAATAAAATCCCATGCGTATAAATTAGGATTTCTAAATAAAGTTTTTTAAAGAATGACTTGACAGTTCAACTGGTCAAATGATCATGCTTTTAAAGTTGATACAAGTTGCGATCGTTGATCATTCTATTTATATCTAAATATAAGAGCGATTTCATAACTACGGCTTGGTGGTCTAGTGGCATGATTCTCGCTTAGGGTGCGAGAGGTCCCGGGTTCAATTCCCGGCTAAGCCCATGGGTAGTAATTATCTTTTTTTTTTTTTCAATGTTTTTTGACTAAGGGAATGTGTGATACAAACGTTCCCGACTAGAGCATGAGCATTTACGAGAAAAAAGCAAATAGCATTCAATTACTTAATTAGTTATCCTCGAGATATTACTAATGATATTTTTATTAGAGGCGGGCACCAATATTCATTCAATTGATATACATCATTATGATAGCTCATTTAATGGTCACAAAAAAGACACGATCGTGGATTCTCTTGATGAACATATGTAAAAAAAAAAAATTGAGTGATTTATTATGACTCTTCAAATTTTTCCTCGGTGGAGAACTCCAATTGTTGGGTTGGAGATGTGGGTACGGGAACATCGAGAATTGGTCGTTGGAAGTCTTCAGAGGTAGGATGTGTGATCGGTGTTTCTTCTTTAGGTTCCTTTTGAAAGAAAGAATTGAGGTTAACGCGCGCGACTTTATAAGAGAATATTGAAAGATCAAAAACTTACCACTATGGTAACAGAATCAGGTAAAGGCTTTTTCGGGCCAATTTTACCAGTAGGATCCCAGGCCTAATTACAAAATTTCCAATTTTAACTAGTTATTTCGTGATGGCCGGAGGATACAAAAGAATGATGAATACTTACAAACATGATCTTGACTTTAATACCCAACACCCCTTGCCTCAACATTACATGTCGAACAGCCGTGTCAACATATTCACGAATCGGCTGACCAGAGTGAATCATTAATCCATCGACGAATTTCATGGATTTTGCACGTGCAGCTCGAAGTTTGCCAGAAACAACCACTTCACAACCTTTGGCACCAGATTCCATGATGAAACGAAGAACACCATAGCAAGCTCTGAAAACAAATTCATTATTAATACTTGATAAAAAATTAAAATTCACTTCATAAAGCTAGATTACCTCCTCACGGCAAGACCTGCCAACAATTTATAGCGAAGCGATTCACACTGAGCTATGGCACAAAGACCACGATTTGACACCTTCTCGGCGTATAATTCCACTGTATTTTCCGGGAATTTGAATCGTTTCTGGATGAGAGCTGTGAGCTCACGAATTCTGCGCCCTTTTTCACCAAGTACCTCTTGGGTGTGAGTCGCACGAATAATAATTTCTGTGCGGGCTGGCGTCACACGGACCTCCACACCAGAATAACCTTCTTCGGCCAGTTCACGAGTGAAAAACTCGTTGAGTTCCGCATAAAAGACACCATCAGCAACGAACTAGATATTGAAGATATGAAAGAAGAAAGCGAATTTTAGGAATTGAAATTATAAGCAATCAAGTTTCTGATGATGTATCGGTATTTGGATCAGATGCATCTAATTCCGTACATTATACCTTTGAATCAAGGTATTCAAACAAGAGGTGCCAGATATATGTATCATCATATCAAAATTTTTAGTGGGCAGACATGACTATTATTATAATGTGTTATCAACAAAAGAAAAACGAACGGTGAATACTCTACTTTTCTTTTTTTTGAGATCTGAGTGGCCATTTCGACTGAGCTATATAATAAATATGTACGTGGAAGAGGAAGAAAAAAAAAAAAATCTTTTTGAATTTTATGCGATCAGCGATTTCAAAATCGTGACTTTCACGTGGCAAATTTCTACTGGTTCTGGAGTGAGAAATCAAAACTTATCCCTCAATAGCTCGCAATTCTCGTTGCTACCAATGAGTTACCATAAAATCATTTTCATTCTGAAATGCGAACGAGTCGACCACAGACAGATCCTATCACACCACATGCGGAACGCCTAGTTTCCTATATGAATACTCGTCCTGAAACTATTCTGGGGTATGCAAAGTACTTTGGAAATTCCAATGATGCCGTGAGTGCCCGAATGACTGACATCGATTCAAATGGCTTTGTCGTGATCGCAAAGAATGCGGACGGAGTAGAATCCGAAGTTCATGTCGTTTTCAAAGAACGTCTAAATGACTATCAACAAGTCAGACCGGTACTGGTTGAAATGGCTCGGGAAGCGGAGACTGCTTTGAATTTGGTATTATACTGTTGTATTTCTTGTTTGTTTAATTTAATTCAAGATTTTTTTTTAAAGGTCCCTTATTTTTTTTGTCGCATATAAAATTTTGCTGAAAACGTGTGGATTTACCAAATCAGCCGAGTACACGTCCCCCAACCATTTCGTCGGTTTCTTCATCGGCACAAGCTTCATCTTTACATACACCTTTCAATCCACCTCAATTACCAATTTATATCTTTCTTTTCTTGGCTTATTGTTTCTTCTATTTAAATGCGTACTCCCCTTCTCCGATGCCCGGATACATTGAATCCTTTAGGCTAATGTTTGGTCAACTAACTTTCCACTATATTCTTATTGGTATCACGATTGTCCATGTGTTCGAAGCTTTATTGGTTGTAGTCGTGTTGACAAGGAGGGGAGAAAGGGATGTTATGACTTGGATATTATGGGTGGTAAATTCTCTAATATTCGGTCACTCTTGGCGTTTATGGACCGCCAAGAAAGAAAAGGCCATGTGATTTTAATGGAAATTTCATAAGCCTGATTCGGAGACGCATTAGTGAGTCCGATTAATTATTCAAATAAATAAATTCTACATTAAAGTTCCAAGTTCCAGACTTTTTTTTTTTTAATTAGTTAATGATTACCTTGAATTTTTTATTGTGAAGACTTGTGCCAAAAAAAAAATGAACTTGTTTTCATCCAAATTGTCTAGAAACTACAACTTTAACTCCATTCGATCCCCAATGTAATTGATCAATAATTTTGTTTTCTTCCTTTTTTTTTTTTTTTTGCGATCATTTTAAAGAGGTCACATGAATGGAATAGAAAATTACTTAAACAATCGAAATTACGAGATCCAACCAACCAACTATTGCAACTAAACTAAGGTCATGAATATCAAAAAGTTGTGTTATAAACAATAGTAAGATTAAATATAGATGTGTGCATGTATGATCAATAAGATTTTTGAAGCTACCTCCCAACGGCTACCAACTTTTATACAGTATCATTGGAGGGCATCCAACTTCATCCGATATTCGGTCCACGCCCACCATTCTTGCGTCCACCCTTTAGCCCAAACAACCCCAAGATAAACAGAACTTTCCTCGTTAACATTATTTTCGTTGCTTTTTACATTATCCACACTGTTACTTCCGTTAACCTCCTCGCCACGGCTTTGACTTTCTGAATCAGCTTTATTGATTGCATTGCTATCGACAACATCGGCTGGATCTAATGATCCATTCATATTAGTATAAGCAACTCCATTGGTATTCTCTTTGTTACCGGTAGTTTCACTTTCAGCGACAAGATCCGCGGAATCCACTGTATATTTAGGTCGATCCAATCTAAAAACAAACTCCTGAGCGTATATGATCAAACGCTCACCTCCAGACGATCGAAGCATGTCCTCTAAAGTCTTTACCTTCTGATTATAAGGTCCTACAAGGGAAGCAATGTCCATACCAGTAACTTGCACTCCATCAATTTCTAAACGTATTCCATTCAATGTATCATGCATATTTGAATACAGTTTCCTCGAGAGCTGAATGTGAGATTTGTCACCACAGATCTCACCTAAAACTTCTATTGCCTTTTGATCTTGTGCATTGAGAAACTTTGTGTGGAAACTTATGGACTCATCAGAAGGTTCGACTTCAATGGTAAGAACTGCTCCCGTAAAGAATTCAATGGTGGAAGATCCATCGAGTTTGGATTTAATAAAATCCTTGTGAATAAGTACATCACGAAGTGATAAAAGGATCTTATCCGCTGATGTAAATGGATCTTTGTAACGCAGTGGCGAAGGTGTTTCAGCTTGAAGCAGTTGTTCCAACCGATCCAATCCATAAAATCGTGCATCTTCCAGTAAACTTTCTCGAAACAGGTCAAGAGACATTCCTGGTGGCAAATTTACCGAAGATAACGGAAATATGGTATAACCCCGAAGATATCTCAAAATAACCTCAAACAACCTGGGATCCCTGTCAATGGTTATCTCTTTAACTGAAGTTTGTGTACCGGTGCTCGTCCTCGCCTTATTGATTTTATCAATAGCCTTGGATTCGTTGTTGGACTCCGCGGAAACGGAAAGATCACCGTCCTTTCCGTTACTTTCCGAAGTCGACCCCGAGGCTGAGTTGCCTTCAGCAGAGTAAGGGGTGTTATTTGTTTCATTCTCACCCGAAGTCTCTTCTTCGCCAAAGAAGGTTTGGGTGAAGAAGTTTGGAGAATCAAAAGTTATGGAAGGAGGATACAAGCGAAATGTTTGTTCTCCCACGTGCACAATGTATGAATTCATGAGATTTGTTGTGGGTTGCTGCTGGTTTGAAGGGTTGTCGTTTACGTTTTGACCGGGCGACATTTTACCAGGTGTAATGGATTGAACGATGTATCTAAAATTTATTTGTATGTAAACAGGTTTTTGGGTATCAAAGCAAACTCGCTTTTTTGCGGTTGTAATACAAAGAAAGAAATTTATTTTTTTTGGTCGGTGCGTTGTTCATCTACATATACGTGGTCATTTTAGATTTTTGATTTGTGTTTGTGTGCACGAGCATTACACTATTTACACTAACCCCAACCATTACTTAAAAAAAAATGAACCCCAGTAGGTGCGTACGTACGCATGTCAATGTCAAAATGTATGCGTCTATAAATGAGAATGAGGAATTGCCGATTCCGCCTGAATTAACCGCGTTAACCATTCTAATTTAGCAATGTGATCACCGGAGTGTACAGTACAAACAGATTTTACATTATAAATAAATATTTATTCATGGGGTTACAAATTCATGTCTTCTTTATTACTCCATAAACCGACATTGATCATGCAATCAATAAATAATGTTAATTTCTAATGAATCAAAAAAAAATAATTGATGATTCTCTAATTTTATTTAATGGATATTTAATGAAATTTAAAAAACAATTATAATCCTAAAACAGTTTTTAATTTAAAAAAAAATTATATTTAATAAAAAAAATTATATTTAATAAAAAAAATTTTTTTTTAATTTTAAATTACATTATTATTACGTAATTAAAATTATAAAATTTTGTTTTTAATAAAATCAATTTTTATTCATATATAACAAAATATATATTCATAAAAAAACAACAAATATAAAAATATACAATATATTAATATTAATCAATATATCAAAATATATATACATATATATATATATACAGTATATGAAATTTTATATAGTAATTTAAATCAATAATTATAAAATTATAATCAAACCTATAATTGTCATTTCTTATGAACACTACTGTATATAGTATGAAACAAAAATAATAATACTGTAAACTCTTTCTAAATGCATACCCCTCAGAACCATAGGAAATTTTTTGAAAAATATACATTTATAGAGAGTATATATTTATGAAGGTAATTTTATTAAGAGTTTTATGTACTTGAAACCAAACTTGATTATACATTTAGAAAGAGAAAATATAATAAGTGCATTTATAGAGGATATATTTAAAGAGGTATCTGTATTTTTTATTTTTATTTTATATCTGAATTCTATAAAGCAAAAACAATTTTAATATAATTTTACAAAAAATTTTAAAAGTACATTATAATTATACAAGAAAGTGAAACATTCACGTGCATTATTATGCAACCAAATGTTATAATCTAATATACAGTATATAAGTGATAAAATTTTACATTTAATTAAAATCTCTTTCCTAATGTTTTGCTGAACCAAAATCTTTGTCATAAGAAAACCTTTCCTAGATATTTGCCGAACTGAAATATTTCCTACCAGAGAAGTCATTTTTCCAAACCAAGATCTTTTTCATTATGAGAAAAAGTCTCTTACGAACTTTTTTTCCAGACTAAAGTCTTTCTCACAAAAAGAAAAGTTTTTTTCCTAATCTTTTGCCAAACTGAAATCCTTACCACTATAGAAAAACACTCTTTCCTAAATCTCCCCATCATGGAAAACAGATAAGTGTATTATTAATTATGATTTATAACATTATTTTTTGTAGAGTTTGTATTATGGTGTTACTAAATTTTATTAACTTTGGATAGATACTAGCATATATTATCAGCATTTATTTATATTTATTAGTTTTAGTTATGTTTT